CTCTTAATAAGTAATCGCATTAAAAATGTCCGTTCCTGCGACCAGCTCTCCAGCGGTGTTACACCTACTAATATAGAGTCTTAAAATAAAAGGTAAGAATATATTCTGTACTGAACGATTTCCTGCTGCATGTAAAACCGTGTGTTTTCTGGTTCACCTATTCTGAAAAATACAAAGAAAAACCTGAAGGGAACTTAATGCTCTTCATCTGACCATGCGTACTTCTTTATGGGGACCTCTCAGCGCTGGTGGTTGAATGATACGTCTCAGAAAGACATTGTACCCCCAAACCCCAGCAAGACCTTTTCAATAAGTACGGTGCTTGGGACGATGCCCCCTAATATTTTAAATGGGTGATAGTTTTACGAATGACAATTCTTAAGGAGAGGAAAACTGAAGCCAACTTAACGTCTAATGGGGCGAACTTGTGGACAAAAGTAAATAAAAAAAAATGTTACCGTCGATGACTGACTTCGGCTCGCCACGCGCAGCCCCTTATGTGCACGTGTGGGCTTCTGGAAAAATCGGCGTAGAAGGTGCGGCGCGTAGAACATTCCAGCATCGAATAAGCAGCAGGGATCTCGAATTTACCAGAAGTCAACATTTACAGAAATAAGAAAAAGGCTCGTCTGCTCCCACGCATCGAACCTCGAGCCCTTTTTGCGTAGGAGCCGAGGATGATAACCATTAAACCACGAGCGTGCTTGGTCGGCGCGACGCGCGTGGCTTTTTCTCCAGTTTAGTTCTGACGACAAATGAAGAGGTTCGTATCTGAACCTTGGATATGCAATGCAGACTATGTAGGTATGTTAAAGGGGCCCTGCAACAACGTTTTGACTGGTTTTTAATTGCCACCGATCCTGAGCGCACTTAATGCTTAGCTTAAGTGCGCTTAAGTGCTTAATGCTGAGCGCACTTAGTAGCTTAATAGAACGTTTTCTTTTCTCAAATTCTGCTTTATTTTAAAACGTTATAGGCAAATTAGAATTACAAAAACAAACAAAAATAAACTCCTTCATGACGTCGTAGGTCCTCGCTTGAGTGGCCGTGAACTAGAGGAGGGATAGAGAGCTCATCGAGTGCTCACGGCTACCGCACTCTGTGTCGACGGCTCAGGGGGCGCTACTAAAGCACGTGTTGGATAAGCTGTATGAAGCGGGCGGCAATGGCGGCTCGCATTGCATTTGCTGCGCGATTAAACACTAATTCGGCATAATACTTGATTGGCCACAAACGACAGCAAACACGGGGTAAATATCAGTTCAGAAAGGGAGCTACTTCGCGCTGCCATACCGTACAATGGCAAAATCGCCAGCCAAGCCCGCGCCAAAAGCCTTCGGAACGCTCGGAACCGTTCTGATCCTCGAGCCGGTATACGACCGCATCGCCGCCGCGTACATCCAGGACCTTTCTACGCTCGCCGTTCGTCGGCCCCTCTCCCCTTTAGCCCTTTCTAGTATGCGCTGTTTTTTCCGCCGCCTGGTGGCGTCTATGTTGACGGGTCATTTCTGGTTTCCGTACTTTATAAGCTGCATTTGTTTCTTTTTTGATCTAAAACACTGAACAAAAACTACATTCATACATAATTAAAGCGTTTCGCGACGCGTATATTTTGTATCTCGACTAAAAAAAAAGATTTTAGCGGTTCTGACCAGTAGTAAGACCAGGACCAAAGACGTCACGTTTAGCGCGCTTTCGGCAACGCGGGTCGCCCTCGTAGGTGGAGGAGGTTTCCGCGTCGTCCGGTCAAAACATGACGCACTGATAATTAGTTACTCTCTTCGTGCCCCCTGGCTTTCCCGAACCCCAAGAGGCGTGGAAACTGCAAAAAAAAGTGGGCGCCTAAATATGATTGCAGGGCCTCTTTAAGGGTAAAAGCGCGAGCGATTTCACGATTTATCTTCCGAGATTAATCTGCAACAATCAGCAGAAGAGGAACACAAAGACATTTAGGTGTAGCGATGATGTTTCCTCCGAGGAATCCTTAAGAAATTAACTCTCTAAGCTGTCTAAAGATTCACGCTGACTTCATAAAATAACTGAGAAAGAAGAGCAGGTGATAGCCTGCGGAGAAGGCATAGCGCCGAGCTCTGAGTGCTGTGATTGCCAGGTAGACTCAACGCGTGGTATATTTCGTGCTTGTTCGAGCGCATTCAAATGCGTTCGCACAATAAGTAGATACAACTCTCGTTCCTGTCTACCCACTATTCGTTCCAATTAGAGCTCTTATCCTCTTCTTCAATTTTTTTCACTATATAATAGAATAACAATATACCCTAAGATCAAATTAGTGCTGTAGGCGTTGCCGAAAAAAGTAACGAAGTACGTTACTCGTGGCTTAGAAATAAATGTAAGGCGTTACCCCCCCCCCCCCCCCCCCTCCTACGTTATTTCAAAATAAAAGAAACGCGTTACCGCTACTGTTCAAAATTAACGCACCTTACTTTTCCGTTACTTCTTTTCATTATGAATTAGCACGTTTTTCTCTTTGATGTTACTGCTATGCATAAGCCTAATATTTCAAGGAACACTATGTTCATCCACAAACTGAACATAATGATTTAAAATATTTTGTATGTATTCGCCCGAATACTTAAGACAAAAAAAGAAACACGCAAAGCTAAACCATTCACGTGGCTTGGCGCTTAAAACACGACAAAAATTGGAAGTGTAGCTTTTGCCGAGTTTTGGGAAGAAGTAACGAGTAACCTAACTCCGTTCCCCGTCGCTTGGAATCAGTAACGCAAGTACGTTACCAGTTACGGTTTTGAAAAATAAGTAACGAGTACCGTTACACGTTACCGAAAAAAAATGTAACGCTTTAATGATAACGCCGTTACTTGTCACGCGTTACCGCCAAAACGAAGCCAAATGTGTCGGGTGTCAGCCAGCCTCGTACAGATATGCATGACGCTTTTGTACATGAGGAGATACACCGCATAGAACTGACTTTCTAGGTAATAAACACATTTCTATTCCCTACATCTCCCGGCTTCTAGAGCAGTCATTTCCAGCAATTAAGATGTTTTCAGCGCGCAGGTTTATTCTTAGTTTACCAATGCTAACTGGTGGGAACGTTTCATCGTAACTTAAACTTATGCAGGCAGCTTATTTTGGTAAATTGGGAAAGCGAGGCTTCTTGAAAAGACAAGTGACGGTCTCTTACCATAGTGAACCAAAAATCACGACTAAAAAGCTCCAATTAGATAAATCAGGTTTACACTATTTAGATCGAGTTATTTTAATTTATATCAGATTTATTTCATTTCAACCAGATTCATTTCATTTAAATCAGTGTAACTAGAATACCCATCACGAGTAGATTAATTTTAAACTTAGCAGATTTATTGGTCAATCCATTCGCTCGCTTAAAAACAAATCGGGCAAATCGCGAAATCTAAAAGTAAGAAAGTATTGGTACAATCCCTGCCATACTCGAACAAAAGCAAATTCATCTCTTAGATCAGGGGAAAAAGCTTTCGCCTTAAGATTTGCTCGAAATAGAACGGTACTTTTCTTGTTCTAAACTTTTTTTGTGTGTTCCGGCATTTTTTTTTTTATTAGGGTCTTACGCAAGTGACGAGCGAAGAGGCACTTTATTACTCTGATTAGCTCAGAAGGGCACCGCTTGGCGCTTATGTTAAGATAGATAGAAATTTTTGCTCGATGACATCTTTACTTTAAATAGAGATTCGCATAGAACGCATCTGATTTAAACGATTAATAAATAAAGAGTAATTTGGGATAATTTTTTCTACGGAATATTTTAGCTAAATTATTTTGTAAAGGCGGCGTGATCTGAATTGCGGTTTAAATTTCCTCGATTTTTATTTTTCACCCTGCTTTTACCTATTGTGCACCCGGATTAGCATGTTCAGAAGATGTATTTTGCTATCTCTTCAATGTAAGTTCACCCCGTGACAGCCAAATAAATTCAGCACCTCAGTAAAGCTTGTGTACTGAAACAAGACAAATATATATATATATATATATATTTGATCCGCAAAAAAAAAAGAAAAAAAAAAACAGAACAGAAAAAAAGAGAGTTTTAAAGAGAGGTTGAGTTTGATGTGCACTTTCGCCGACGTTTGTTGTAGTTATATTCCTAACGAGCGCGTTGGTAAGATGTCCTAGATAACAGAAAGTATAAAAAAGAGAGAGGACGAAATGGGTACTCGTCTGTGTTTCGTCCTCTCTCTGTTTTATGGTTTCTGTTATGTAGTTTATTTTAGGTTGACTGCTATAGACATTTCAAGATTTGTGTATTTTAAGCGGCATCCCTTCTGTGCCGCTTTGCGGGTTGATCCAAGAAACTGCAGATGAAGAAGCTCTTAAAAAGTGCCTATGGGAACTCACAGTTTTAGACATGCTGCTAGTGAGCGTTTCCTTATTACTCTGCCCCCAATGAGACTGCGCAGTTACCCGTGAAAATGCCTAGGCAACAATTGCAAAGCAAACACCATGAACATAAAATACGTCTCTGAAGCTGCCATGAGCTACATTAATATTTTAAAATGCATTCCAAGTTTAATCACAGACAGAAGAATGCCGTACTTTACCTCATGTAGCATGTATTGGCTATCCTCCAAATAAGAAGCGACGGGTCTTTTTCTGTCTGCTTCACGAGTCGTCCATCTGGCGCTTGTCTCAACAAGCTGCGCGAACAGTCGAAATTTTCACGTGCGTAAAATTCATTCTCAACGTTGCGTCGCTCGCGTCGCTCATCGGGCGCGCCGTAAGAAAGCGAAACACCGTTGACCGCCTGTTGTGACGTCGCGCGGGCGATGGAGGGGAGGCGTCCCCTCGTATCCGACGCATGGCGCGGGGGGGGGGGGGGGTCCTCGCTCGCGAAAGGCGCCGGGGTCGTGAGGCCTTGACCGTCGACCACAGAAGGGGCGACCACCGAAGCCCTTGGCGCGGTCGCAAACATTTGCCGGCGGCGGATTTTCGCGATACTTCGCCCTGATACAAGCCTCAGGGGTCTTTCTCTTCGGCAGGGCAAGCTGGCATTCTGCGGTCAGCGGGAGTACAGAGTCGATCGGAGAACGCTGGTCCCTCGCCGGTAGGAGGACCCTCCACGCCTGTCATCGGGCCACCAGCGCCAGCGATGAGGTAAGACCTCGTCTCCCCTGGCGCCCGTTCACTGCCTGCGCTCATGGGCATTCCTTCTGTGTCCCCGGCAACCTTCCTCTTGACTTCCTTAGGGCTACTAAGTGTTCAAATAAACGCAGCGCCATAGTGCAAAGGCTAGTAACGAAAAAACAGAGGCCTTTCTTACTCTTTTCCTAAATGTATAACTAAGTAACCAACCAGTTCATTTCCGGCAACTAAAGAAGCTATGCTTTAGAATGACGACACTTGAACCAGCTTTTTACTCTTAAAATCACCATTATCAGTTATGTTCAACCGAATCTGAAATCCCAAGAAACGTATTCATGTGCTCCAGAAATGTTGATGTAGTCTGCGACAGAGGAAAGGAATATCGGCCGAGCTTCCTCGCATCGCATTTAAAGCTCTAGAAGCCGCATCCTCAAATCGTAACTATCGCCAATTGTAGCCGCTCTGTACTAGTCAACAAAAACTACTAGAGGGAATGAAATGCCAAATTTATGAGCCTAGCTTATTTGGTCAGCCTAACTTTGCTGCTCTAGACCCATTCACACATTGATTAATGCCAAAGAATGTTTAAGGATACGATGGTCATCATCGACGCAGCCGCTGTATGAAAGGTTACCGGACACGCCTGTAAGTGTCGTACGTGTGTCGTTTCTCGTCCTCTTTTGTTCGCGCCCTTTAACCTTTTACACGAAAGCAACCTTTTTGTATAAGCAGCATCCCGATTCGGGCTAACTTCATCACGTATGGGAACAGCCGCCTTCGGTCACGGGTTCTATACAAACTTTCTCTGGGTCTGCAGAGGCATTTGTAAGCCGCCAAACAGTTTTAATTTGTACCTGTCCTATAACTTTCCGAGTAATACAGGGTATTTAAGTGACCACACCGGAGTAGTTTAACAAAATATTTGCCTCTGAACGGATTAGACCCCGCCATCAAAGGGCCGCGTCTTAAGTATGTTGTAAACGTAATAAGGAGTAGCTTTCTCCCGAATCATTATTTCTTCTGTAAATTGAAATGAAGAAACAAAATCCTCACCTGTTACTAGAATGTTGAATTCCAAACCCATGGCGATATCACCGGCTGCACAGTTCCTTTCGCTATATGCAGCAGCACCGATGCGTGCCATACTTACGTTAATAATGCCAATATTTTTTGTACATTTTGGCAGACAACACACATGCCTATTAAATGCTGAAACCTTTTTGGAACATGTAATCTTCCCCTATCACAGTCTCAGGTATTACATTATGATTCATTATCAGCCGCTCGCCTGAACACTCACTGTTATTGCTTAGAAATGTCGCCGACCATGAGCGGTTGCCAATGACAAGTTAATTCATTCTATCTTAAGATTTATTTAAGCATAATATCTGAGCATGGGATTCATCACTTTGGCATGTCTGATGCGAGGTGTCAAAATATTGACAAACCTTAGGAGAATAGGACAGAATCTCGAACCAAATCACGTTTGCCAAAAGAAAAGAAGTAAATAGTGTTTCGTTTGATTAGGTCATGTTTAGAAGTCCACTTTAAAATGTCTCGGACTAAATAAACGCCCCGACAGCTGATTAAGACATGCTACACGCTTTCTGGTTGTTTACGCAGAGAGCAGCCGTAACTCTCAAGATGAATTAAGTCTCCCTGTGTATTTGGAATAGAAAATTTCTTTAATTTAACTTTATATATAAGATTTGAATTTTTCGAAGCAGGCACATCGCATTTGGACTATTAGTTATATGGGATGTTGAAATACACTACACTTTATTATTTTGTTAAATTTCGTTTTTGAGACATGGGAGGGGTTTACTCAGGAGGACCCCATGGACGGATGAGAAATTGTAGTTCTTTTTACATCTTATGAATCTTATTTTACATGCATTATATTGACATATCTGGGCGACAATTCGGCTTGGGATTTGGATTCTGCATCTGTTATGTGCCAATTCGTTGTCGATTAAAATCTCCTTTTGACAGGACGTTCAACGCTCATTCTAGATCTCAAGATATAACATAGATTTGCTTCTAGCGCGCAAACGCGTTACATGTAATGGCGTTACAGGTAACGTGTTACTGTTTTCTGTAGCGTAGAAACGCACTCGTTACGTTTTCAAAACAGTAAGTGATAACATGTTTATGTTACTTATGTCGCTTAACGTCTACGTGATTTATATTGAGTGACATTGTGAGTGGTTGAGTTACTTACTTTGAGACACAAGAAGCAGATATGCTTTGGAATGAATTCGAAACGACATGTTAAGACGTGTATTTCATAATTTATTTCACTAAGAACTAAATGTATTATAAAGAAAAACCCTTGGATAGCGCCAGAAATCACCCACGTGAAGATCTGTGTAAATAAGCTTCGTTGAACGACAAAAAAAACAACAAGAAATCCTCTAAATAAGAACAAATTGGCGTTGCTCAACCGCGATTTTGTGGAAAAAAATCAAATCGGCTAAATGCAATTTTTTTTAATATCACTGTTTAATTGTTTATAGAATCTTGACCCCACAAATTCTTTAATTTCGTAACCCCCCCCCCCCCCCCAAAAAAAAAAAAAAAAAATATATATAGCAGTGTGTCGAACCGAAAAAAATACGGGTTCGGTTACGGTTCAGGTTCAGGTAAACTTATTTTGTTCCGGTTCAGTTCCGGTTCGATTAATTCGATCCGCGAACCGGTTCGCGAACCGGTTCGGGGCGCTGAACCGGTTCGCGAACCGGTTCGGAAATTATAAATGACAAATTGCAACATCAAAATAATTTACAAATAAAACATCTGAAATCAGCACATACGAAACGGGATACATTGTAGTGTAAGGCTCGGGGATTTCTACCAGGAATGGTTTCTTTATGTGCACTCAAAGGTTACCTCACCGACGTTTACGCATTCGGACTTCATCTAATTGGGTCCGACGCAGTAGCTGTAAAATCCGCGACCTCCTTACAAACCCACTGACAAGTAGAACTCGCTAACTATCCCGCCACCTCGGCGTGTAAGCAATTGAAGGAACAGTGGGGAGAAAATACAGCTTTCTTTATTTGAACTAGCCTTCGGTAACTCAAATTAGACCCTTAAAGAAGTTTTCATTAAACAAGATACGGAATATGAAAAACACTTCACCGAACGCAACGCCAGAAGGACGTAATAGGATAAATATTAAAATAGAAGAGTTCGCTGTCTCACAAATATGTTAGCTTCTAAGTGCCTATACGAAACCGGATGCATTATTATCAAACTCCACAGCCTTTTCTTTCCTCATTCCGATGGAAGCAAGCTTCAAGAACTTGCGCGTTCTAGAAACGTGTTATGAAATGAGCACACAGCAGCATTTAGGATTTACGAGATAGTAGGAAAATGAAATCCCGTAACGCGATTTTCTTTTTTTGCACAGCCTTCCAATTCTCTTTCTTCCGTGCAAGCCGCGACCAGCGCAATACTGGTTCCTATGTCCAGATTCATGGATGCAGCGTTTGTCAAGATTCATGGATGCAGCGTTTATATTCCTAAGACTGAGTGGAGAAGAAAAATATGTAAGCGAGGTGTGTGTCAGTTGACGGCACTTAAAAAACAAATGGCATTGATAGCACATTCATTGTCAACAGCGCGTGGCCGAACCGTTTTGACATGAGCCGGTAACCGTTATTTTTTTCCCGGTTAAGTTCCGGTTGGGGTTCGACACCCTGATATATATATATATATATATTTTTTTTTATATGTATGTATATATATATATATAATCTAGACGCTCTCTTAGGCGACAAAGCAAATCTTGCAAAAGTGTTCAGTGAATATTTTCTTTCGTTCCTTAGAACATGTAATGGTAATGTACCCTCATTCGCCCCCCCCTTTCTTAGTCTTCGCTTTGAATAAAGTTCTGTGGTTATTGAACAGGGTGTTTTATCATTTCCGCTCAACTTGAACAGAAAAAAGTGCTGGGCCGAACGATATAAAAAAATACTTGTTTTTAAAGATTTGCCCAAAAGGTAACAAGATGTGTTGTTATAATATTTACACTCTCGCTTAGCAAAGTACTAATTCCAAAAGACTAACTTAGCTAGAGTCATCCATATTCATAAATTCGGAAACAAAAACGAATTCGCGAACTCTAGGCTCATCTGACGTACTTCAACGTGCTGTAAATTGCTCGAACACAATGCTTTGAAGCATGTCTGGTCTTATATCAAGAATAACCACATACTGTAATGCCCTCTGGGCGATTTAGGTACTGCATAAATAAATTACTTCATATCACCCATATCACCATGGTTTTAGACGTAAGCTCTGAACAGTGACGTAACCTATTGAAAATATTTACGATGTTTCCACTGTCATAAACAATAGATGACAGGTTGAGGCCATATTCAACGGTCTGTCAAAAGCCTTTGACAATTGTTGTCTCGCCCGAAACTATATTTTAAGCTAGACTCTATACTAGGAGCAGGAAAACTTATCGAGTGAATTGAAGACTACCTTTCAGATCACTACCATCACGTAAAACGTAATGCACACTCATCATTCAAAGGCAAAGTTTCATCGGGAGTCCCGCGGGATCATTACTGGCACCTTTTTCGTTCTTTATATACATAAGTGACTTGGCCAAAAATGCCAACCTAAATTTCCACTCTTTGCTGATGATTGCATGCTTTACTCGCAAATATTATAGCCAAACAACCAGATTAACCAAAATAATGCGCTTCAACATATCAAAAATTGCTGCCATCATCGGCAGATGGAAATACTTTCGAATAAGACTCTAGTCATGACCCTTACCAATAAAAGACGCCAATACTTATTTCCTTGCCAGATAGGCAACAACCTCTACGAATGCAGATACGTCGGCCTCCAGATAGGTCGAAATTTGCGTTGGGTCTAATAGATTGACTCTCCAACTAATAAAGTTTTATATAAACTGAGTTTCCTTAAGCGAGTTTTCAAATAGGATCTCCTGCCACTGCACTACTAGCCTACAGAACTTCAGTACGTCCTACGCT